AAATCTAAACTAATTTCTGTAGTTCAAACAACTTAGAATTGTAGTTGAGAACGTGTGTTACAACGGCTCACGTATTAAAAAATAGTCGGGTTTAAATCGGGCTCGGGCTCATAATTACAGTTAATGTGTCGGACCGGGTCGGGCTCGGACACAAGGTGCACGGGCTCGGGTAGGATCGGGTTTAATTTTTTGGGCCCGATCTAAGCTCTACTTCAGATCGGCCGTGTCCCTCGTTAACATCTCCCCTGCTTTCCTGTTGAAGTTAAATCCTTCTCTGAGCGTATCTCAGTGTATCTTTAATATTTAATGCTTTTTATTTGCCGTTTGCACAAATACAGGTACATGGGAATGCTACTCCTCACTTACCCATCTCGCTCTTCATAGCTTGGGGGGAGGAATTACCAAAGTGGGGCGCCCCTGGAGCTGGGGGTTAAGGGCCTTGCTCAAGGGCCCAAGGACATGTGACTGTTCTGCCAAGGTTCAGCCAGCGATATTCTGATCACGGGCACAGAGACTTATCCTGCTGAGCCTCTCATTATTATTTTGCTGTACTGTAATAAGGTCACATTAGCATGGCTCTTGAGCGTCCCATGCTCTGTGTGGGATAAACCATTACAGGAACTTTTGTGCAGCTGTAGCTAAATCATTCTTAGGCTGGCATTTAGAGCATCAGGCTGGAGTGTGTGACTGCGGCAGTGTATCAAAGGCACGGAAATCCACAATCAGTGCCCTCAGCTTGGGTGCCGTCAGTCATCCTCCTGTTAAGATGTGTGTACTAGAGACAGGGGATGTCACATGCCTGTTTCAGCCCCAGTCAGGTCACCGATGATGTCACAGAGGGCCTGAACCTGTGTCTTCCAGCCTCCTAGACTGGTGAGAATAATATTGAGCAGCACCGACCAAAATTGCAATACTAGTAAAATTTCACAGCACAGTGATTAGACTTCAATCATATTTTCCGCATGTGTTTTCTGAAAGTTTATGCACGAAAACCTTCGAAAATCCATCAAACAGCCTGCATTCAGATGTGGTGAGCGCTGGAAACCATGAGACGCTCTGAATGTCTCTCATTATCCTCTCACTCTCCCCCTTTTGCCTCCTTTCTTTCTCTCCTCTCTCCATTTTCTTTCCCTCTTTTACTTGCATAAATCGATTATCTAGGGTGAACTCTTGTCTATAAATATGCTACTAACTGTCTTTTAAATAGCATAATAGGATCTCTAGTCCACTGTGATTCACATGCACACAGTTGGCACGCAATGACTCACAACACTTAAACATGCCATCCTACGCTTTTAGCTGTGTCATACCACCCCCTGACAAAAAAGGTCCACCCAATCCTTTTATGGTACAAGATTTGCAGAACTGGGAGGGATGCCAAAAATATCTTCTCCTAGAAACGATGGGGTAACACTCACATAGAGGAATTAGTGTGACCAACGAGGGCCTGCTTCCATGTGTACCAGGAGAGCCTTCTGGTACCTACGTGCTCCTCCTCCTCTCACCGTTCCCCTGCACCTCTGCTCAGTATGCAGCAGCATCCGCCCAGATGTGCTGACGCAGCAGATTCTAATACGATTAGCTCATGTGAGTGATGTCATGCACCCGGCTGTCCTCTAGGGGGCGCCTTTCCCACGGCGGGAGCTTGGAGTTTTCCGTTTCTGAGGGTCCTGCTTTCTCCACCCGAAACACACTTGTGTTTGATTGTTTCATGATGTTCAGCAAGGCAGCTACCGGATACTGGAGTTGACTGGACAGCAGATTAATGCCCTACAGTCAGAGCGGAGATGTAGTGACCTCTGCTTTTGCCCCAGACTCTGGTCAATACCAGTATTATTGCATTTTACTACAGCATGTGCCCATTATGTGTAGTATGCAATTGCAATTATCGCAGGCAAAGTATGGAAATCTTAGAAATCTGGAGTTACACTTGTGATTTTTGTAATGTGCCACACAATGCCCGGTTTTCAGCATAAATAAACCGTTTCTAGTATTTTATATTGCAACCATAATCACTACTTGGCAGATGTTCATCACTCTCTAAAAGCTTTACAGTTTGTGAAGCAGGTGAGGAGGACAGCCTGTCATGTCCCAGCGACTGTTGTATGGGCCTAGTTTGGTTCTGAGGGTCTGTGCACACGCTTAATGTTTGTGGGCAAAGAAGAAATCAGGAATCAGCTAGAGCTTCAGTATGGATTTCTCCTAAACCATCATACGTGGAATATTCAGCCTTGGATCCAACAACAAGATGGAGGATTTAAACAAAATACTGAAGCCCTTTCCTGTAGCCTGAAAGATCTGCTTTTCCTACACAGATTCAGCTCCTGCTATGTGTGAATGGTTTGGGTTAAGCATTGTCTGCTCTCCTACGATTCTCTCATCTTTTGAACTTTACCTGCTACTTACCGGACTAACCTGCCTCATGACTATAAAGCAGATATTCATCCAAAACTATGCTCAACCAAAGAAGGCCCGAGTGAAAGAGCAGTGAATACTGCAGCAGCCTCTCCAGCTGTTTTGTAACCAAAAAGATCATCAGCTGTTGTGCAGAAGATAATAACACCACTCACACGTACTGAACCGGAGCCATGAATCCTGGCTTCACTTAAAACCAAACCCGGAGCATAATAACCATGAACAGAAAACGTAAACAGAACCCTAAGCCGACGGTATTTAAAAAGATTCATGTTAATTAAAATCCTGCATTTATGACGTCCTGAGATTGCTAAACAATAACCAAATGGATTTTAAAAATCCATAAAAGGCAGAATAATGAAAATATCTGTTTTAGCCAAAGATACATAACCATAAACACTATGTTTTTGATGTCCTTTCTCGTTGGTCTATTTATCATGAAGTATTAAGTAACATTGTGCTACGTATTCTGAACACGCACAAGATTCATGAAAATATTATCAAATTCTCAGCCAATGAAAACGAGGAGAAAGAAGTGCTTCTAGCATGAAAGCTGTGGTATATCCAGCCAAAATCTGACAGCTTGATTTAAATGGTACCAGTAACGACTTTAACACGTTTCTCAAAAACAATCCACAGATACGATGCATTTTCTCCATGGGGGTCATTTTGAATAATGTACTTTTGTAGATAAGGCCAATGTATCTGTTCAATGTCATACAAGAGAGAAACCTTTGGAAACACTCATCTGATTTTAATTGGGAAGGTTTAGGGGAAAAATATGAGTCATCTTCCTCCAGACCAAAGTCTGGAAAGAGTAAAATACTTTTGGAGTTTAGTTGCACTTTCATAAAACTCATCACTACATTAAACCTACAGAGCTACACGGCTGCTCCTTCCCTTTAAGATCTTCTTGGTCTTCTTGAGCATCCAGAGGGGGGGGCGACTGGTCCACTCTTTCTGCGCGTGTGAGTGACGGATGCTGTACAGACCCATTGGCTCCTTTGGGAGAATAGGCACCAGTTTCCAATTTCCCCCTCCTCATCCATATTGTACCATCCATCCATCCATCCCTCCATTTTCTGAAACCACTTATCCTGAGGGTCGTGGGGGGTCTGGAGCCTATCCCGGAGGGGCAGGGATATATGGTACCAATGACTATATATTTTGAGAAGGTGGAGGAAAAAAAAACATTTTTTGGCCTCGGTTATTTGTATATTTTTATACCTTATGTCCTCTTTTCGGAGAGGATTCTGCTATGTGTGAATGGTATGGGTTAAGTATTGTCAACATCCTTTCCCCCTCACTCTCTCTCTCTTCCACCCCCCTTTGCCGGCTGCAAGTCTCCACCTCTTAACACATTGAAGGGCTGCCTCTCTCCTCTCTCTGCAACAGGCTGTAAGGGAGACCACATCGACATCCCCCAGACCTCCTTCAGAGGACCTCCTTTCTGCTCTCCTAGGGGGTGTTTAAGGGGCCATCAGTCCTCAGGAATCCCCTTTCCTTTTTCATGCTTGCGGTGACATGCTGACATCACCAGATTTTCATATCTGACTGGGATATTCCTCTCGCTCTCTGCTGGGAAAGATTGCAACGCAATGGATCTTTGCACCAGTACCAATCATTTTCTTGCCTTTGTCTTGGTGGAATCATTCAACTAAGTGAGAGTTCTCCTTCATCATTTATCATCATTTTCACTGTCAAAATGTTTCGTATATACTTTTAAGGGGCTTCCTAGCAAGGACCCTTAACCTCAGAAAGTTCTGTGTGATGTTTTTTTTTATAATTTTTATGGTAAAGGTGCCTAACCTCTAAGTACCATTCTCTAACACCTGCACAAGAGAAGCAGTTTTGTTTCAGCTGATTTTTCCTTGAATGTGACTGACGGCTGCAGATTCCTCCGTGTGACTCTTCACTCCCGTCCGCGACCTCTCCGGCTGCCTGCCGTGCCTGGGACCCCCCCCCCCCCCCCCACGTAAGCCGTGATGAAGGTGAGGGGAGCTGTATCGTGGCTGGCCGTCGCCACGCTCGCTCTGTCCTGCGTGCTGACGTACAGCCGCAGCACAGGCACGCTGACAACATCCGTGGATGGAGCCGTCGCAGAGAAAAAGGAGGTCAGGTTGCAGCGGAGGGATGAGGTGCGGGACGAGTACCGTGATGAGGTGACTGTGGTCCAGCCTGCCATGGAACCAGAGATGAGGGCTCCTAGAGGCAGAACCAAAACCCGGAAATCCATGGAAGAACCAGTGAAAGGTAAAGGTCAAACAAAATCACGTGGTATTAGGCTTCAACCTATAAAGTTCTCAAATGTAAGACAGGTGAAAAACTAAGATGAGATAATTAGAAGGTGCCAACTGACAATTCCGAGTCTTGTGTGGCCCATACATGCGGCACATGTGGTCGACAGAGTAGCAAATATCTTTGATGGAAAGTTACCATGACTCTGGAAAGCAGAAGCTGGTGAGAACATCGCTATAACATATACAGGGGAATGTGGTTGGTGTAATTCCACCCCTAACATTCCTTTCCGATTTGAACCTGAAGGAGCAGAACTTTCTCTTGTTTAAGAAAATATCAGCGGTACTTGAATCTCTATTATGACTTGAGGACCAAAATTATATTAAAAAAAAACAAGGAGGGGGTTTCCAGATAATACCTGCAATACCGATGACTGGATTTAAACCTCTAGCATTCTGATTTTATTAAATGCTCAGTGTTAGTCCTCATTACTGGGCATTAGTATAATTACAATTTGTTATTCAGTAGAGCCTTTCATAGGTTTCAGTTAAATATGTATTGTATATTGTTTTACCTTTGGCTACTTAAGTAATTAGAATCCTTTTGATAAAGTCCAGGATTGTGTGGAAGATCTTTGCAATGATCTGTCAGTCAGTAACACTGGTATTATGACATAGGACCTTTCTGGCACAAGAATCCTTAATTAGGGATCATGGAACTTGGCAGCATACACAGAGTTTCCCATTACAGTATATCATCATCCCACAGCCTATTCATAATCCGAGCATTATCAGTCATAGCATACGGGGAAGGCGGAAAGGGCTGAGAGAACACTATCTCATAAATCCACAAATAACTACTAACCAACGTTTTAGAAAGTCCCTTTTTGTCTGTATCCCAAGATGTGCCTCAGCATTGAAGAAGTATAGCTGTGCACATAAACTTGGAGACCATCGTCATTTCAGTGAGACAGCTGTAAGAGTTAAAAACGGTTCACTGTGCAGTTGCTTCTCCCCAAAGAATGTTTAAGATACATTCTGTGGTCCAAAGTGCAACATGAACAGCTGTGGATGGAAAGCAAAGGTCTGATACGTCTACCATGGCGAGTGATTGTGGTTATGGTCCTTGAAGGCTTCCGGACTCCATCACTGTAAAGATAATCCTATGAATACTTGAGAATTAGTACTGCCTAAAGTCCTTAGTACAAATTCCCACAAACCCAGTGACTTTGTAATACTAGCCCCTAGGATGGTGGTTAACCTGAATTCCATCTTTGTACAGATGCATAAATTTGTTCAAAACAGGTTATATAAACCAGTTTGTATATGATGACCAGCTGGATGGATAAACGAAATAACCCAACAACTGCAACCCAAGGGTGTAATATGCAGAAATATGGCAACAGCATTGCATTTGATGTCATTGTGCAATGTTTTCTTGGATCTCCTTGACAGGGAATATTGGTACATGCATGCCTACCAGTTCTTGCTTTTGGCTCTTCGCCGGTGTCATCTGACTGGTGCTGTTCTGGCCACAATTAGAAACAGATTTTCTCACTACGCTGCAGTCCAAGAGAAAGCAAGGATGCAAAGAAAACGTGTATATGAGTCAGTGCAGGAAAAGCACTTACATCACACATAAAACCATGTCTAAAAAGGCTCTGTGAGGCTCATTGACTGGTACAGAGCAGGGCATGGGAGGCACCACAGTACCTGGTGTGACCTGTATGTCTGCGGTGGCAAGGGACAGACCGACTTTGTTTAATCTGTACCGTCTCACTGTAGGTAGGTCTAGGAAAGCAGCCAGGAAGGAGGCCAGAAGCAAGAAGGACAGAGGTTCCAAGCCCACAAAGTCGCCCAAAAAGAAGAACAAAGGTGACAAGAAAAATAAAGACAAGTCTGGAAAGAAGAAAAAGAACAAGAAAGTGCAGATTGAGGACCCCCCGTCTGAACCTCCCCACGTAGAAGAGGAGCCGCTGATGGTGGTGGACCCCATCTGGGACCAGTGTAGGTGTCCATTAGCACATCGCACAGGGCCACAAACTGCTGGTCAGACTCAAACCACAGTCTGGATGTGTCTTATAGCACAGTGACAACCTCTCAAAGCCTTTAAAATATGACTTCCTCATTTCAGAAAATGTAATAGCAAGCTACTGAATCTAGATGATCAATGTATATGTGTATGCAGATCTATGAAATCATAAGACTTGTTGAAAACGTTGCTTCAAACCCTTCTGTATAATTCAATAAATACTGGATCATCGTATTATAATTTGTCATTGCAGCAAGACAACACAAAGTGCCAATGTGGAGCATAACTGAGAATGTGTCCTGTGATTGCATTTCTCTAGTGGCTTCCACGGATGTTCCTCCAGTGACTGAAGATGTGTATCCAGACCTAGACCACAGTAAGACAGGCCTGCCTTCAAAACTGCTTTTCTTGGCTTGATGGCTCAAACCGTAGCTACCTCAGACATCTTTCCAAGACTGTAAATCCTAGTGAAGTATCTTCTCTTTGAGCATCACCAACATCATAATGACAGTGTGGCTTGCCTGAAATGGATGTGTGTTATATCCATACTAGATCTAGCACACAGATGACTCCTATTGTGGTGTCCTGATCTCTGAGATCGTTGTTTCCCTTGCAGTTGACCAATTCTGGATGGAACCTGAGACTCCAGCTCCCTCAGATCATCTGACAGAAATCATGGGGAGGGAGGGAGATGCAATATGTATGTTTTAATTAAAAGACATTAACTTCTACAAGCAGAACTTGTTTCTAGGCCTCCATGCGGCTCAATACAGGTCACCTTTCTGTGTGCATTTATGTTTAACAGATGGAAAGTCCCTTTTTCGGCATTCCTCATAACTCCTTGTCGTTTACAGATCCAGAGATTCTGGAAGAGACAAGTGAAAACGACAGCAATGAACCAGAAGGAAGTGTGTGAATATACTAATTTGTGTTGACTGAAATGAGTGTGTGCTATAACCATACCAGATCTAGCACACAGATTCTACGGTGGTGATCTTTGCATGAGGTCTTTGTTTCCCTTGCAGGTGACCGATTCTGGGTGGTACCTGAGACCCCGTCTCCCTCGGACCTCGTCACAGAAGTCATGGGCAGGGAAGGAGATGATTACTGGGATGCGACATGTATGTTGAAACTGTTAAACATTTACAGTCAGAACGTCCTTCTAGCCTTCTGGTGGGTTCAATACAAGACACCTTACCATCTGAATTCCTGTTTAATAGATGACTTACCAGAAGCCTACCCATACGGCAAAGAGGTCCTTCCTACAGAGCTCTCTCCCACCTCAGGTGACTTTTTCCTCCAATATTCTCAGGAATGTGATCTTGGGTTTCTGTAGGAATAGACAAAAACCTGCATAGCGACAAGGCATTTGTCAGGGTGTGCTTGAAACATGTTGTCTTGCATTCATCTCATTACATTCACGTGTACATTTTAAATGCCAGTCTCAAAGATGTAAAAGTTTTCAAAACAGGCATTATGAAATGCTATATGAAAGGAAACAGTGTGTTCTTGTCTCAGATCTAAAGTCCTCAGTATGAGCTCAAAATGGAGCTGAACTGAGGAATCCAAGCCAAAAAGCCAAACTTTCCACAGTCCCTACTTGCTTATAAACTGACCAGTTTATGGGTTGTCTCATATGTGTTCGAGCTCCAGGTAAATCTGCTTCTGTCTAACTTTTGGTTTTTCTGTATTACAGAGACCCCCCCGCCACCCTTTGAAAACTCATTGTACTACGACTACGAGGATTTATACCGTATGTAACTGACTTATACTGAACATAACAGTCTATGTTGCCGTGATGTTGCAGTGCCTGGAAAACATGTCATCACAGTGGGTTAGGCAGGACTTGAGAATAAAACTTTAAGGAAACTCTCTGTTTTTGGTACAGTATCACTCATGGCTGCTTGTTATTTACAGATGTAAGGATTCCAGAAGAGACAAGAGAAAAAGAGAGGAAGGAAATGGAAGAAGGTGTGTCCATGTGTTAATATGCGCATTAGGCTGGTGTGACTCTGTTTGTGTTCTCTGATTCCTGTGTTGTGATCTGGGCTTCTTGTCACCCCTGCATAGTTATTAAAAATGGAAAAAGGAAATATAGGAATATAGAATGAAGAATAAAACATTAAATATTAAAGTCGTTTCAGGGATACCGATACCATTACTAGATCCCTTGTTGGATGTTATGGGTAAATCAAACTTTCAAGGCATTATATTCTGAAAAAAAGATCTAATTTTAACCACCAAAATTGGACAAAAGTCCCATTCGATGTGTTTAAGGGAACTAGGACACTGAAGGGGGGGGGGGGACTCAAGCTCTGTGAGACGAGTCAGGGAAATTAAAGTGGACTGAAGGCAGAGAAAAGATGGTGATGTATGAAAAAAAAGTGAATGAAAATAACGGAGAAAGCGGTTTTAGGGAGACGGTGCCCATTTTCCCCAGAGCACAGAGTAAAACAGCAGCTGTAGGAACAATTGCGTGCTCAGCACAGTAAATGTCATCTTTGGACAGAAATGGTCCCAAGAGATGTTTTATGTTCAGCATGAGAAGCTAATCAATCTGCAGCTTGTGTTGGATGTGAGAAATGTAGGTCCACGTGAATATATCGCTGTCTAAATATAGGGCTATAGAACAGAAAAACAGCCTGAATAGACAAATACTTTAAATCATTTTCACTCTAAATGACAATAAACTACAATAAAATAGAAGAGACTGGGGTTGGTTGGCCATAGAGGCTGGTTGGAACAACAATAATTTCCATGTAAATAAAGGGAGCTTTTGCAGAAATGCTAAATTATGAGATGTGTCACCTGAACTACATTCAACAATCGGGTCTAGAGATCAGAAGGCTGTGCACTGCACATGTAGCTATGCCTTTTGTGGTTTTAATCATCAAAACAATAAATTACCTCTTTGAAAATGTCTAATTTTATACATATCTGAGTGAGATATTGAAAATAAATTAATTGTAGCAAACTGAGATGGGGATTACGTATATTTGAAAGATGTGAAATGGGGATTAGCTACAGTATGATTTGTTCTATGATTTGAAGGTCTGTGATAAATCACACCAGCTTGGTATCATGAAGCTCATATAAGGTGCAGCTGGGGTCGGTTATCACATGGTACACAATGTACTTTAATTTTATTTTTTTTGTTCGTTAATTAAATACAAGTTGCGTACTTGAAAAATTATTTGAAGAAAAAATGTAAGGAGATGATATGTTTAAAATGTTTAGCAGCCAAGATTTAATTGTTTTTTGCATTCCATCCATCCACTGTCGTGGCCGATGGTTCATATTAGTCTGCAAGATAATGTTTAAAACTAATATTTTAAACATATTTTGAGTGCCCTTGCGACCCTGAATAGGATAAGCGGGTACAGAAAATGGATAGATGGATGGATATTTTGAGTATCTCATATATTTGGAAGCATTATTTCATTGGCATTTGATGTTTGGTTTTACTTTGGAATACAGAAAAAGTTCTGGTTATTTTCGTATGATACTAGATTCTTACAAAGTTCATACAATATGCATGTTATGCCAATCAAACCCATAATGTGTGTCAACCAAACCTATGTTGGGGCTGGCTGGCACTAGGGCACAACATGTTTTCATAACCAAATAAACTATTTACAGTAACTGTTTTCTGCAGTCTAATCTCACTCATTTTAGCTGAGACTTTAAGGATACATTTCCAGGTAGCTAGGTTATCAAAATGTAATGCATATATGAAATTTACAGCACTGAATGAAAACTATACCAACCAACCCTGGTCTCCCCTATTTTCACTAATAGTTTTACTCTCAAAAATAGGCCTTGGCAGCTTTCTTTGTCAGTTGATGCAGTTGATGCAGTTGTGTTTTACTCTTTGCTGTTGTCTTGTCTGTGGTATTTTACTAACTGTTGTCTGTTTCAAATTTACTGGGAAAATATCTGTAGTTGATCATCCCTTTCCTGTGCTAGAAGAAGTAAAGGCTGGGGGGTGGGGGGTGTTTCTGTTTGAGATAACAGTTACACTGAGCCAAACCACAAGTCGCTTCCAATCATTCTCACCATCCGCGATTTGACACTCGTGTGGCATTTTACACGCATCTACTTTGCAAGTGGATTCATCTGTGAAGGGAACAAAAATGATAACATCCGAAAAACAACACTTTTAATGTACTTTCTTTTGAGAAAACGAAATTAGTGACTCAGTTATACTTTAAATAATGCTAACCATGTTATACTGGACGACAGTTAGCTGGTATTAATTTAATTAATTCACAAGATTTTTTTATATACTTAAATGTACTTAAATGCTTAACCAATCCCAGGTAGCATAAGGCACAAGGGACACCCTGGATGGGATGTCAGTCGATCATAGGCACCCTCACTGATCATTTCAGCCTGCATACTGACTAATCTCTCTCTTATATTTCATTGAAGAAAAACAGAGACGATGGGAAGAGGTGGAAAAGGCACGACGGAGACCTCCTCCCATTTTCACAGAGGAAAAAAGTAAGAAATCATTACAGTATGAAACGGCAGAACATCGTGGTGCTGTTATACGCTGTTCAGAGACATACAGATGTAAGCTGCAAGCAGATATAAATACATTTAAGTTTTTTCAATTGCCGTTGACGTACTTGCAAAAGCGAGTCATGCAGCACATTTATCATTGCAGTGTTAGGCACTCCTTTTCCATTCTGAGATTCTCACATTTCAGACATTTCTTTTTCCCATTCAGTTACCCTCCAACTCAGCCAGGACCACGAATATTTATGTAATGTGGAAACTGGCTGCATTCTTCCAGTGCTGAGAAGTATTTGAAAAAGTGCATCATGAAAGCTAGCTCAATTTACTGTGCAAACTGAAAACAAAAATGACATAACGTCTCCTTAGTTGGGTTGGCTTCCAAATTGGATTGCTGGTGTTTCCCGCAGTCCTGCCACAAAGAATCTAAGCCTCTCCATCTTTCATATTGGCGATTGTTTCAGTTTTTTACAGTAATCAATCAAAGTAACACAGTGGAATGTCAGCTGAGTTTGGCAGGAGTCACTTGTAGCTCCCAAGATCTGGACAACAACACACTTGTGAGAATAAGTGCAAGGGACTCCAACATCAACAGCCTGCCTTGTTTTCTGGAATAGCTGTGTTGCTTTTGGCTCCACAGCTCAGCCTTGAGGATGACTGAGGAAAACACAGCTAAGCTCTGGCATGTTCTCTGAACGAATGTGATACGTCCTCATTAGACTGTCTAGGTCGTTTGTCTTACCTAGCAGTACAAACAAATCCACCAGGCCAATAGAAGAGTATGGTAAGAAATATTCTACTTTTATATTATATTATGACTGATGAATAACTTTTGCTTACAGAATGCCCTCCGCTGGGCATGGAGTCCCATCGTATTGAGAATGACCAGCTCCTAGCATCCTCTATGTCCAGCCTTGCCTTCAACCCACAGAGGGCCCGGCTCAATATGCAGGTAAGAGGCGTATTTAGATACCCTACGCAGATCCGATGCACTGGAGTGAGCCTCTTCCTTTCAATGGTATCCCAAAAATGGCCGTATGTTCAACTAGCATTAGCCTTGGGTTCTCCTTTGGTTAGTTTTACACAAACCTTCTCGTAACATTTGCTCCAGGGTATTATGCATCAGAACTTCCCCCAAATATTTTGGAAACTAAAAATTCTAACATTATGTGAACATTTAGAGAACCTAACTGGAACGTTGTCGTAAGGTTTTCCAAAGGTTTCTTGTATTTTAGTTGTTATGGGATCATTGATACAATCAACTGGAATGTTGTCCAAGGGTTATCCAAAGGTTCCAAAATAACAAACATTAGGAGAACGTTCTATGAAATCAAAATATGCAGCCAAAAACTAACATTATAAGAAAACTTTCTTGGCTAGCCATAGGGGAACCAAACAGACCTTCAGCGAATGTAATAACCTTCCTGGAACATTCTGGGATCCAAAGATTGTTAGCTAGGATAATCTAAGAGAATATATTAGCAAACTCAATTATTACAAGTGCAAATACCATCGCCCCGGCTGACCCCATGGATGATGGATGATTCCAGGCCTCGGATGATGAGGAAGATGTATATGGAGGAGCATGGTGTGCCAATCCCGAAGAGAGGGAGAACTGGTTTGAGATAGATATGCGGCATGACACAGAGTTCACTGGAGTCATCACCCAGGGCAGGGATTCTGACATGAGGTATGAGACATCCGCTACAAGGCCCGCTGTCGAGTGGAGAACGACTTATGCCATCTTTCTTGCTTCTTCTTTAATTATATGCATTGAGATATTAATGTCATGCCAATCAACCCCATAATGTGTGTCAACCCAAGAACATCCCTACAGAACCAACCAAAACTAGTCAAGTCTGAGATCATAAACATCAGTGGAAATCACTTTGATCTCTCAAATCAGATGTTCACAATGATAGGTCCTTGGGGGATTAACGGCTGTGATCCTTCAAGTAGACTCGAGTAGCCAAGTAAGCAAATACTACGCAGAAAAGTCAAAGCAGTTCTCTGTTCAACAGCCATGGCTACTCAGTGATTTATTCAGTGGCACAGAAGATCTGAGAATCTTCAGTGATCTCTCTGATGATGGCATTCCTTTCTTTGTAACAGCAATGACTTTGTCACCTCCTACTATGTGGCCTTCAGCAATGACAGCCGGGAGTTCAATATACTTGATGACGGCTACGCTGAGTGGGTGAGGAATCTGGTTTGCTGACATACAAAGCCACAAATGCATTTATTCAATATACTGTTTTATTTCACCTGTCGATTGCAGAATGTTGTATTCAAGTTAACCATATTAAAAATATAACTTTCAACATCGCTTCTATTTGTGATTGGACTGATCGGTGTTTTAATTTGTAGTCCAGGGTTTTTGTTTTGTTTATGAGGCAAAATATTTGTTTTAAAGTTACAGCTATTGTAGATGTTCACATTTCAACTGGTTATCTTGTTCTACTTACCTATGATATTTGTATTAGTTGCCTGTTTAACGACAATGTAGGATCAGTTAGCAAGGGGTAGGTAATGTCTTGAGGTGAATGCTGACTATGCTGACTACCCACCTTTGCTTCTCAGCTGTTTGTGGGGAATTTGGACAAGGACACCCCTGTGGTGTCACAGTTCATAGAGCCCGTGGTGGCTCGCTATATCCGGATCCTGCCTCAATCATGGAACGGCAGCCTGTGCATGAGACTGGAAGTGATGGGATGCCCACTGCCCAGTGAGTGTTGCCTAGGTACCACTAGGTACCCTAACCCTAACCATACATTTCTGTTTGTTACAACCTTTGATTTCATAACAATATGCTTTTGTCTATTCAGGTAGTAACAGCCACCAGATTCAGAATGAAGTTATTTCAGTAGATGACTTGGACTTCAGATACCACAGCTACAAAGACATGGCAGAGGTTTGGAGAGTTCTTTGCATTACCCAAGGGGTAATTTATATGTAAATCAACAAGCTATCAAGCGACGATTGGCCAGGAGAATGCAAAAACACTTCCACTCCCCTCATCCTGTTCTTCTTCTAGATGATGTACTCAATCAAGAACGAGTGTCCGAATATCACCAGATTGTACGACATTGGGGAGAGCTTCAAAGGACTGAAAATCTATGCCATGGAGATCTCGGACAATCCTGGGGAGCATGAGCTGGGTGAGGGCAGATGCAGATACGCGGCAGACAGCGGCCATTGCTTCCACAGTCATTCTAAAGGCTGTCCTTCCTGTCCCTGACAGGTGAACCGGAGTTTCGCTACACAGCTGGACTTCATGGAAACGAGGCTTTGGGACGAGAACTGCTGTTGCTGCTTATGCAGTTCCTGTGCAAGGAATACAAAGACGGCAACCCTCGCGTGCGCCGGCTCGTGGACTCGATACGTATCCACCTGGTGCCATCGCTCAACCCTGATGCCCATGAGCTGGCATTTGAAGCGGTTAGAACTCTTCACCTTCTACCACGACAACCATTTTCTGCATTAGATTCTTTGTGGTTTGTGCTGTTTGATGTCCTGTTCCAACAACTCTGTTTTCTAGGGCTCAGAGATGGCAACCTGGGAACTTGGACACTGGACAGAAGAGGGATATGACATTTTCCAGAATTTCCCAGACCTCAACAGCATCCTGTGGGCAGCAGAGGATAAGGGCTTGGTTCCACAAGTGACACCCAATCACCATATTCCTATTCCAGAGCACTTCCTGAATGGCTCGGTGCGTTTGAACTACAGCATATGGATATACTAGAGTGGGCCAAATTGGAAACCTCTGAACATAAATTAAGCCAGTCACAGACACACTAAATGCAGAGTATGGTGATTTGACACCCTGCCAAACAGAAACCGTAAAGTTAATTTATGGGAACGGAGTCCACTCTCATTACAGTGGATGACAGGATTCCAATATCCAGTACAATAATTATACAACACTCATGAAATGAACAGATTGGTTACATGGATTTTCTTGTAGCTTAACTGTGAGCCCTTGTGTTGTTTAGTTTGCAGTGGAGACCAGGGCAATCATATCCTGGATGGAGAGTTACCCATTCATGCTGGGAGCCAATTTGCAGGGGGGAGAGAAGGTTGTCGCATACCCCTTTGATATGCGCCAGGGAATCAAGGAAAAGGTCGAGAATGAGAGGAGACGGACAGTACGGCAGTATGAGGAAGAGGATGAAGATGAAGACCCATGGCATGGCTTCTACCCAGAGAGCGAGGAGGAGCTAAGAGAGATAGCTGACGAGTCCATATTCCGCTGGCTGGCTGTTTCGTTTGCCTCCACCCATCTTAGTATGATCAACAACCACCGTGGCTCCTGCCAGAAGAATGATCTTGCCCGTGGTGTGGGCATCGTCAATCGTGCCAGATGGAAGCCTACCGTTGGCAGTGAGTGAAAAGAAGCATTAATAAAAGAATTAGCCTACATGTTTTTTCTTTACATTGACCAAAACTACAGACACAAAGCATTGACCAAGATCCAATGTTTAATTTAAATTTATTTATGGTGTATATTCAGCTGGATCTGCTCATGTTACCACTGCATAATGAGTTCATTTAATCTCACTTATCAAACTTCAGTTTTCGGAACACATTTTCCAGATTACCATAAGTCTTGACAAAACCAGTCATATTCTGTGGCCCTCTATATCATCTCTTGATTTGCAACAAATAGGATGACACCTCTGGGATTGACTATACAGTCAAAGTTACAAATATTGTTATAAGTATTGGGCACAAACGCCTGTCATCAGGGATGAAGACTAATTCATCTAACCCACTTTCTCAGCTGGTTTTTGCATGAAGCTTATGGCCCCTCTGATTTCACTTCAAGGCATGAATGACTTCAGCTATCTGCATACCAACTGCTTCGAGCTCAGCATCTTCCTTGGCTGTGACAAGTTTCCCCATGAAAGTGAGCTCGCACAGGAGTGGGAGAACAACCGAGAAGCACTTTTGGTCTACATGGAGCAGGTGAGAGCTACTGTGCATCACCTAGAACAATAGTCACGTAGCATGTTACACTAAGGCCAGCATGAAATGCTGTTGCCTCATGCATCCAGGGTTGAGGAGCTCTATCATGCCTGCTAGATGGTCCCTCAGTTCGTTGGGTTTCTTCCCACGGTACAAAGTCGAGTAGTTAGGTGACTTGTCATCTCAAAATCGCTGTTAGTGTTTGTGTAACCGGGCCTCCTGTCTTGTGTGTAGTAACTTGGAAAAGCTCTACGGGAGCCTAGAGTGGATACTCTTTATGAAAGAAAAATCATGATACCGTTTAGCTCTTCTTCTGTTACAGGCATGTAGTTGTGTTTGAAAATACTTTGTCCCTGTAATCTCAGGTACATCGGGGGATCAGGGGAGTGGTGAGGGACCGGGAGGGAAACCCCATAGCCAATGCGACCGTGTCTGTCGATGGGGTGAACCACGATGTCAGGACAGGTAAACACTCTGCCTCTTAAAGCTCCTGTGAATTAGAGGATTACAGTATCACTCAAAGGGAAAATCCTGCCATTTACTGCTTCACAAGGGATGTCCATTAGCTCATTCATATTAGATTTTTTGAATGTCTCGGAAATTAGTGTGACGCGCTGTTCTTTGCTTGCAATGAGTATGTTTACATGCACACTATGAAAATCGAATTACTGTGTTAGTCCGACTAAAACCAGACTTTTAAAGTACATGTAAATATGCTACTCTGACTGAAATCGTATTAAATCGAATTTCTGGTAGTCAGACTTTTAAACCCACATAATGCAATTGGGAGTCGATTTACTCCAGCATGTATACGTTAAATCGGACTCAAACTGGTCTAGGCGCTCTGAGCATGCTCCACAGTCCCCCACCCAGTACACAGTACACAGAAGCCAGTACACAGTATTGCTTTGAGCATAGCAGAGGATCAGATGATGTGTGATATTAATACCAGCATCGCATGTTATGCACGTCCAATTCTTTCATCGCTTCTCAGCTAGATTAAGATCAGGCTTTTTCTTACCTTCAGTTTGGTATGGATATTATAGCACAGAGTGTTTAAGTCTTGCTAAAACATTTTTACTCTGTCATAGGAAAAACAACCTAGCAAGTATGAACAAATTCAATGATCATTCATTTTCAAGATCATCTAGTATGTTTAAAAATCAGTTTAAAGTTTACCTCAGCTGCTTTTGCATGAGCGATGTATGTGTTCTCTGAGACCATCATGATCAATTTCATCCTTGCTGTTTAAATCACTCTTAGATGGGTTAGTGAGAAATTAATGTTGAACTCCTTTTTTTCATATCTCAATATTTATTACAACAAAATCACATTGCAATATTTGAGCAATTTCCAATACCGTGCTGTCATAGTATATTATACAAAACATTTTATTTCTTGTTATGCTATCTGGATCTTGTTGTATCTGTTCTTCCGACCAGATTGCAATTAAAGCTTCTGTCACTTCATTTGCATACACATCCATCATTTTATTATTTTTTTTACGTCTGTGACATGATAGGTAAAGCAGAAAAAGCCCAAAACTAACAAGCTGAAAGAAGCCTTATCACCACCTATTGTAGGAGAGTCAGACATACTTCGGTTAATAATTGGAGTACGTTTCTGCGCATGTGTACTGGAACAAGGACAGCAGTCCAATTAAATGGCGTAGTCGAGCTATCACCGTAGCTGAACTTAGCTGTGCATGTAAACGTACTTTCTGAGTGTGACACATACAGTACAATCTCAATATGTTGGACATGGAATTAGTGTTACATGCGTGCCGACTCATGTTTCCACATTTGATTTTCCTTAGCGGACTCTGGAGACTATTGGCGGCTTCTGAATCCTGGGGAGTACCATGTGACAGTGCGCGCAGAGGGCTTTGCCCCCCTAACACGCCTCTGTGTAGTGGGCTTTGAACCAGGAGCTACTCCCTGCAGCTTCACCCTCAACAAATCCAACTGGGATCGCATCTTGCAGATCATGCAAATGAACGGCCAGAGGTCCCTCCGACTTTTGTCCAACGGTCGGCCGGGAGGCGGGCACTGGCAGTCCAGGATGAACACCAGTTGGAGAAGACCTGTCAGTCATGGCTCACGCCAGCGGCCTTTCCGTCGACCGCAGCAACAGAGACCGAGAGCCAATGCTGGCAAGAATTTATCCCCGGAGACAACACCCCCAACAACCACACCACCCACAACCACACCCCCAACAACCACACCCCCAACAACCACACCCCTAACAACCACACCCCCAACGACCACACCCTTCCCTGCCACTCCTGTGCCAGAGTTCCCACTAGAGATTTCCACCTCCTTGTATGATTCCTGGTACAATGAATACATAAGCACTACCATCAGTCAGCCACCTGACAGTACTCCAGAGTACTACGAGTATGAACACAACACAGATTATTATTAAACAAAAATCACAACATGCATTCCTGCCTCTCATCTGAAAGGTGTTCTTGTTAGTGTAGCTCTGTATGTCCAGAATCTTAACATCTTTGTCATCCACTGTTCTCACCGTTTTCTGAAAACACAGCACAATTTTTTTTAGACGGGCAGCACGACTCCCTTAACGTAAACCGAACCTGCAGTAATCAGCATTGTGATCAGAGGGTAGCTTTCCTGGAGTCTCTGAAAACAGGGCACACTTAAAGTCTCAAAAGAACATGCTCTCCTGGTGTGAGATAGCCATTTACTAACCCACAATTAAAATCCACCAGTGCTTAAGGTAGAAGGTATTTCATTATAAAAGTTTATTTACATTTTTCTGCCATTGTACAGTAGTTACATGCTACTGACCAAAAAAAAAAAGACAAGACATAGAAAGTACTTGAGAGATTTATAAAAAATGTTCAGCACTGCCATATAATTCAGCCTTGTTGCTTATTTGTGTTTTTTAATAGCTTGAACCACAAATTTAACTTGAATGTGACACCTTCTGGCACTTTTTAAAGGATCTGTATTATACAGTTAACCTCAGACAGTTGTACTGAAATTCATATTCAAGTACAGTAGCTTCTAGACAGTGACTTGAGGTAAGGCCCCTGGACAGAAGTTCATGACTGGTGACATCTGGCCTGCACAGAGCAGAGGGGAAGGTTCACTGCTCTTAGTGGCTGACATTCATGTCATTCTCCTCCTCATCCTCGGGAGAAAAGGAGGAGAAGACGATGGGCTCACACTCGAGCGTTCGCACGTTGACCAAGCAAGCCGTGTGCGTGCTGCTGAATTCGGGAACGGAGACCAGGAGGACATCCTGACCATCCAGACCTGAACAACACGGGGAGACAAAAACGCAACGGGCTCAGTGACATCATAAGCAAGCTTCAGTTTAATCAAGGGGCTTCAGCTTAACATAATCCAAGAACACTATGACATTAGCTAACGTACCTCAGACATTTAAAAGTAACCCGTCATATTATTTCAGACTCTTAATAAATTCTTTTAGATGCAACACAGAGACATCGCCACCTAACCGCATGCTATAATAACAGCTTAAGTCAAGAGCGCATTTGGCCCGGAGCAGGCTCACCGGTGATACGCTTAGCCTGGTACGAAGGTGCATTTCCACTGAAGTACACGTGGGGGCACTCTTCAATGATGAAGGGATCACTCTGGTAGAATGGGTAGCAGCCTTAAGGAAAAAAGCAAGGGGCAAGAACCAATCAGCAATCAGACCATGCACCACCCACGGGACCACACCCCCAGGGCCGGACCTGTGCCTCTGATTGGCTTTTACCTAAAGTGTCTGGAGCTGTGGGTGCCAAGTGGCGGAGACGCAGGGTCCTCTCCAGTACGTCGAGGTGACTGTCCATGCTACTGTACTTCACTACGTCCTTCACATTCTGCCCTGAGGTACCCAAGAACCTGCCGAGCAAAGGCTGGTCTGTTAGAACAATCCCTCACAGATTCACTGAAGTCACATTTCGGCCAATCAAGCCTTCACGCACGTTATGAAGGTACCTTTGGCCAATCACATACTCACACGCATTCTGAAGGAACATTTCAGCCAATCACGTACAAATAGAAAGGATGTGTGCATTCCCCTTCGGCCTACCCCCGGTGCTCACCGGACACCATCGATGTCGGCTTGATAGGGGTTGGTGACCAGCTGCAGCGTGGGATATGCTGTGGACAGGGGGAACATGCAGCGGTGCAGGGGCTGCTGCGGCAGAGTGTAGTTGCTGGGGTCAAACTGCCCGGGCATGACATCCACTGGTACAGAGGCCTGCAGATGGGAGATGTGGGGGGAAAAAGACCACTGTACACCTTTCTGAGCGATGGATCTCATCCCAAAAGACAAAATGCTTTTAGGATTACCCACAGTCATTTTCAAACATCCTAGCCTGAATCCAACATTCATAAACAGCTTGTGGAACCTCAGCCGGTTCCCAGGAAGCATGTCGGGGCACAGAGGGGCCTCACTTACCACCAGCTGCACAAGCACCTCGTCCAGCAAGCGGATGGCTTCCACGCTTCCAGCCTGGGTCTTCTTGGTCAAGTACTTAGCCTAAGACAATGGAGGGCACACACACACACACACACACACACACACACACAGTCATTTTGTATTTCGATCAGCTACTCGTAGAACATGCTGGACTTCAGCCCACGTTACAGGAGTCCCGCTCCTGAGGCTTCCCAAGCCGCTCACCTTGTTGACGGAGTCTCTGTCCTGGGTGCTGTGGCTCAGAAGGTTCCCAGCCAGCAGGACGCGGCAGATGCGTGCCGCCCCACTCTGCTCCCCCTGGTCACCCAGCTGCCCGGAAACCATGTCCACCAGAAGCTGCAGGCTCAGCAGGCTGTCCGCCCCGCTGCCGCCCAGGCCCAGGCCCAGGCCGGAAGCCAGGAGCACAAATCTGCCAGCCAAAATACATACTAGCACAAGCCACCTCATATGTGCTCGCATCTGTCCCATAATGCACCAGAGCGAGATTCAGGCTCACCGATCGGAAGTGAGGGGCAGCCTGGGGTGCTGTTGCGGGAGGTCTGCCATGCTGAAAGCCTCCACGGTGAAAATCCCGTCGTTATTCTCAGCTCCGAGCACAGCGATCACACTGCCTGAGGGTGGAGTCACAGCTTCAGAGGCATCCTAAGGCTCAGCTTCACAGCGGTGCAGGACGTGTGCGCCGAGCGGTGGTCACAAATACACACAAGGCAACAAACTAAACTAGCAACAACCACACAGTCATCACAAAACATAACCAGCACCCACACCACACTACAGAAGCAAGAAATAGGACACACACCTGTGACAAATTCTGGCATGTCAATGTTTCCCTCCAGCTTGATTCGTTGCAGTTCATCTTCTAGAATGAGCTCATCTGATTGGCTGATGTACTTGGCACGTGGAGGCTGGGGTAGCAGGTTGTGCTGAGAGCCCAGGACAAAACACAAAAGGTGTGTAAGTCAGACTAATCAAGCAGGTCAAGTTCAGATTATCAAGCATCAGTAGTTTTTTTTTTTTTTTTTTTTTTAAATCATTAGGATTTTTTGTTGCATACCTCCTCGCTTATTTCTTTCAGGATGGATGGCTGAAGCTCCATGTTCTTGAAGAGGGTTCCCACAATGCAACACTGCTCGCCAACCTTAAGGTCGCAGAGCCTCCTCACCAGCACTCCAGCACCTGAAACCACACACCCATTTAAACACCTGCTGCTACGTTAAGTTACTACAGGAAGCCAAGATATGGCAAAAAACGGAGAGCCTCCAGGTACCCCAGGTCTGCTTGGCTCTGGCGATGAGGATTCCTCTCATCTGCATGAGCCTTGTGGCGTAGATATGCGCGTACTGCCGGTTGAAGCTGCGCTCCCCGACTCTGAAGCGCTCGGTGCAGCTGGCGTAGTCGGGCCGAACACGCTCGAACAGCGGGCCCTCCGATCCCGGCGGACAGAGCAGAGTGCCCTCCTTCCGGACTGCGAGATCAGAGAACATCGCGTGGGCCTGCGGGGACAAGGACACAGTCCGAAGAGAGCACGCCTGGGCCGGACTAAGGCTTCGCAAAACCCGAGCGGTACTGACAGCACTTCGGTTTCACACCTCTGTAGGTGATCATTCAAATATGGGACGCAAAATACTTTTGATAACGTCATTTTAATAAATACCCTCCATCTGTCAACTTTCTGTATTCGTTACCAGTTATATAAACTTACAGACGGGACAGCTAGACATTTCAGACAGATCCCAAAGCATCACTGGTATTTAGCGTTCATTTAATCACACTGTTAAACCAAATCAAAAAGAATTATTTCGCCATATTCTAATCTAACTTTTACGGTACACCGAGCATATACAGAGCTGGCGAGATATGTAGGGTGTTAAATAAACATCAATTAATGTCCTGATACTGGTCCATAACGTGACATGAACCACCATAAGCTTTAGCTGAAGCAACATCAGATAACACCGAGTAAACTACACGATACGTCGTCCTGTAAACAGAGAAAACAATATACTTACCGAGTACTTTTATAACTTACTCGTGAAGCAGTAATGCAGTGTTATGCGGAAAACGATGTGCTATTCTAGTATATTTATCACTCTATTAGTCTTAGACACGGGTAGTGCAGCGGCATTGAGAACTCCCGCCGCTGTCGTCACCTTTGACCCGTGACGTAAGAGCCAGCGCTCGGAGGCATCGCGGTGCCATTTTGGGAAGGGCGCGCTCTTAAAACAAATAGGGCTGCGGGGATGTTCTGTATGGTAGCAAAATTTGCATTTAGAAATTACCTGTGACTTTCGGGATGTCTTATTACTGCTGAAATTGTGCATGCTGCTTTTTGTCTTCTTCTGACAAGTTAGCAGTGGATGAAACGTTATTATGGAAGAAAACGGCAAAAACAAAAACTGAATTAAAAGTGAAATAACCTAAATTATTTTCATGGGAACTATTCATTCTTCAATTCTGTTACTGTCCAAGGCAAGAAATGCCTATTTATGCAACATATGACAATTATCCATAAATAAACGCTTGGTTCACCGTGCTCTTTTAATTTACAGAAACAATTTTTAAAAATTAAATAAATAAATAAAACAATTAGATTCCGGCACTATGCTTATACGTGAATAAACCCCTAAAGAAGACCTATAGTTCCTATAACGTTATTTGGCAAAATAGCAGAATAATAAGTTATGCAGCAGAAGCAAAGCAACTTAGGTAATTAGATTAGGAATTACTCTAGATAATAACCTCCATAAATACATTTAGTTTCAATAGCTGACACTTTAACTATCTATACCAGTCTATGTAATGTCGCATTCTGGTAGTGTACAGTAAGTTGTGGGGGTGACGAAGTGCAAACCGGTCTTTCAGTGATTGACAGAGGTAGGTAGAAAAACGATTGTAACAAATACATTTTATTCTTTCCTATTTTCCTCAGAAAGTCACTTAAATAAATGTAACGGAGTATATGTAGCACGGTTCTACCCAAACCTTGGTCATACGCGCATGTGAATTTGAAACATTGTTAATATTTTTCCAGTACCATAAGAGGACGTTTCTCAAGGAAACCAGTTGATAATGAGCTAGAGCAAACCGTTGAAGCTGAACCCCCTTTAATATAATTCATGAAAAGTATTTATAGGCAGCTGTCGACTTATGTAAACCCATCCATCCATCCATTTTCTGTAACAGCTTATGTAAACCGACTTACGAAAATCCGAATGTATGTAGAAAAAACAAAACACCCGAGATAAATAAAGTTTTCGGACGCGCTAACGCAAAAAACGCGACATACGTAATACGCAAGCCGCCGGACGCTTGGCCGCACTCCGCGAAGATGACTTCCTGCAGCTTCGCAGCTCTTGCCTGTACCTTGTTGTGATCTAATCATTTAGGTATACGGTACGTATTTTGCATTGTTTGCACTGTGTATTTTTTATATTGGGCATCATGGATGGCAAGCGTCCAAGGGAATGTAAAAGTGAATCAGCCCGTAAACGAACAGCGATTAATTTAGAATTGAAAATTAAAATAATCCGGAAATATGAAGCTGGACAATGTTTATCCGCAATCGCACGTGAATTCGGTTTAGCCAATTCAACCGTAAACACTATTGTGAAGGATGCTGCACGTATAAAACAGCATGTGAAAGGAACAGCATGTCTGAAGTCTACTATAATAACAAAGAGACGTGAAGGTGCAATTAGTGAGATGGAAAAATTACTAACATTATGGATGGAAGACCAAATCCAAAAACGTGTTCCGCTAAGCGTAATGACTGTACAAGCAAAGGCAAGAAGTCTATTCGACGATCTCAAGAAAAAATATCCCGAAGGCACGCAGTCGTTTTCTGCAAGCAGTGGTTGGTTTTCACGATTTAAAAACCGTGCTGGTTTTTGTAATGTGTTCGGCGAGGCTGCTGGTGCTGATCTTGAACGAGCTCGAAAATTTCCCGAGTGGCTACATAAAATCATCCTCGAAGGACCGTATTTGCCCGAACAAATTTTTAACGCAGATGAGAAAACCTTGTTTTGGAAAAAAATGCCATCTCGCACATATATTGCCAAACAGGAAAAAACTATGCCTGGATATAAAGCCTCCAAGGATAGACTGACTCTTTTGTTCAGTGGAAATGCATCTGGAACTTTTAAACTAAAACCTCTTCTAGTTTACCCCTTTGAAAACCCATGCGCTTTAAAAGGCATCAGCAAGGCAACTCTGCCGGTGCATTATCGTTCAAATAGCAAAGCGTGGGTCAGTGTGGAAATATTTGAGGACTGGTTCGTTAACTCTTTCGTTCCTGAAGTAGAAAAATACTGCAAAGAAAATGACATTCCCTTCAAGATATTGCTTATTCTGGATAATGCTCCTGGTCATCCTTCCCATCTGGATGATTTTCACCCAAACGTAAAGGTAGTGTATCTCCCTCCGAACACAACTTCATTAATACAGCCCATGGATCAAGGTGTGACTGCGCATTTCAAGGCCTATTATTTGCGTGCAACTTTTGCTCAGGCAGTGGCGGTTTTAGATGAAAATCCCGAGAGAACACTCATTGATTTTTGGAAATCGTACAATATTTATCACGCTATCCGGAATATTGAAAAGGCATGGGCGGAGATTTCACAAACATGCATGAACGAGGTTTGGAAAAAACTTTGTCCGCAGTTTTTCTCTGACTTCGCAGGCTGCGAGAAGGATGAGCTGTTTGAGGAAGTGTGTGAAAAAATCGTTCAGTTTGGCAAGCAGTTGCAGCTGGAAGTGAATAAGAAGGATGTGGAAGAAATGATTGCGCATGACGAAGAACTGTCTAATGAGGATCTCATGGAGCTGGAAGCAGCAAGAGTTGCAGAAGATGAAAGAAGTGAAGGCGTGGAACCCGAAGTGGAACCCAAAATTGAACCCAAATGGTTCATGGCAACAGAGATGGCCGTTGCTTTTAAGGAATTAAATTCCTGTTTGGCACGGTTTGAGAAAATGGATCCGAATACATCTCGATTCCTAAAAGTGCAAAGAATGGCAGAAGATACCTTTGCTTGCTATCGAGAGATATACGAAGAAAAGAAAAAAGCTGCTACAGATTTTTTTTTTAAGTAAATTTACAGGGAAAATACAGAAAGTGTTCTTATGTACATTTTATTACTATATTTTTGCTGTAAAGTGTCTTGAAGTACTAAAAGGCATACTGTACAGATTTTTAAAGGTAAATTTAAACTGAAAATATATTTAAGCTTATATTTTTAATATATGTTCTGATAAAGTACTGATTTTTTTCCATAAGGTGACATTAAAGAAATGGGTGGGGGGGTAGATCTGACTTGTGTAACAGGATGAAAATCAGTTACCCCATAATAGGCGTATATGTATGCATTTGTGTGTGTGTGTGTTTTTGTTTTTTTTAAACGACCATGAATAACAGTGTCTATATATTGGTATGATTGGTTGGTCTCCATGTGTTTTGTTAATGTGATCTGAATTGTTGTGCTATAAGACTATTTGGGGTAGTAATGACTATTCTATCAGAAATATTTTTATTAAATGTTTTTCCAATAGTATGGGCAAAAACAACACAACAAACAACAAATAGAGTATACCAACAAACCCTCACCCCCCCACCCCAGACACATGGGAGCAAATAAATAAAAGAAGTAGTTCCCAAAAAATGATGTAGCACTAGAAATATCACTAGACATCTAGAGATTCATTAACATTAACATCAATCAAGCTGGTGGAGCACAAGAGCATCAAAAACACAATAGTCCGTCTCTAGAAACACAGTCTTCTCCTCTGTATTCATATCCTACCTCACATAGATACAAATTGTAAAAATCTTCCCCATAAGTCAAAGAAGTCTTTGGTTTTCCCTCTTATTATATATGTCAGTTTTTCTAACACAAGAGTTAAGCGACATCTCCTTGTGTCTGACTTGTGTTGTGTCTGTGACGCAGACCCAACACCAGAAAAATATTCCAGTTGCCCGGCCCTACTCGACCTGGTACATTCTCACCTAGCAAACACCGGGCTATTAATGAAGAACAAACAATGCCCTTGAATGTTCTGAAGCAAGCAGCTGAGATATAGTGGGTATGTATTTTGTCACTAGTGGCAAAACAATGTGACACCTGAGTTTATTGTAGCCATAACATTTATTGCATTCAGTTTGTAGATTACAGTCCGCATTAGCATCTTAGCACTTTGTAGTCTGAAGGACTGATTGCTTTGTCTCTCCTCATGATTCCTCTTTTTCATCTCCGTGTGTGATGATGTAGCACAAAGATTTGTAGTCGATATTTCCAGTTGCGTCAATCGGTGCCACAGAGAAAGCCTGGTCCACCTATAAATTTCATTAAAAGGGTTATTTTAGCTCAGACAGTATCGCAGAATTGAGAAAAAAAAAAGATCTAGATGGATATCTGAGTGAATATCTCTACTGCAGTTTTTCAGGAATTATCCGATTAATATGTACCTCGTCAGGTGAAAATTTGTCAGCCTGGTTCATCAGCAGCCGCCGAAACCTTTCAGGCAAAGGAACACGAACCACTTCTTGAATGACCAGTATAGTCTATGATGCATGGTTATCATATTGTTACACTTATTCATTTGACAATTGGAGTCACGATATTACACATGGGTTTCTTTTGATGTGTAAGGAATCCACTGACAAAATCTCTCACCAGTGAAGTTTCAGCGAAATTATTTATCCTGTCGCAAAATAAACCGTGTGATATAAAGTAGCCATACACTGGGTGTTAAAAAAATTAAGACAGTCCTTTTCCATCCAAGACACCCTATAAGACCCTCTTTATCAAGATACTGTGACTAGGTGTGGTGAGTGAAGGATGGTCTCCTGAAATGTAAGGAGCCTGAGACGGGACCGGAGGCAGAATAACCAGCTTCCAAAAAAATGCTAGTCACTTTTCTGGCCACTGCTAATTCTGTAGCTTCCTGTTCACCCTAGTGGTGCCCCAAATGGAACCCCCATTCTTTTCCAGACTTTCCTGTGATTATAATTTGCTGTCTGTATTAAAATCATCAGCCATGAACATTGGGGCATCTTTAGTGTCTTGTCTTTGCTGTTGGATTTAATTTGTTACAGTGAATACTCACTCGTCCTTGTTAACAAAACCCGTGCCATCTGGGTCAAAGAGCTTGAATGCATTCAGAATGGTGTCTTCCGGATCAGTACCTAGGAAAACAAATAGAATCTTGCATGAGTCGCCATCAGGTTTAGCCAGTTTTCTTAATGCACAGCTGGTCAATGACCCTGCAAACAATGCCAGAATATGAAGAATAAAGGTTTGTGATTGTGATCTCACCCTTGACTATAAAAAATTGGAGAAATGAACTATGTTATGCACTATACTCTTATTTACGCTTTCCTGCTAAAACGTTAAGAAAAGCAAGTAGGTTTCCCATAACGGGTACTAGATAAATTAACAGGTTATCAAAATTGAGCTCCATAATTATTTTGAATTCCAGCTACCCTGAAGGTCCAGCAGAGATTCTCACCATTGAGTTTCTCTCCAAAGAGTGTAAGAAAGACAGTGAAGTTGATGGGGCCTTTTCCTTCAGCTAGCATCTCCTCCAGCTCCTCATCCTTCACGTTCAGCTTCCCTGTAGTAGGCACTGTGTTACGCCTTACACCACACTCACAGAACTGGACATAAACTGGGGCAAAGCTTTACGGACTGAAGCCAAAGACCATACCTAGCTGTGCGTAGGTTTCTTTAAGGTCCTGCTTTTTAATGATGCCGTCTCTATCCTGGTCGATGCAGCTGAAAGCCTGCAAGTATTTAATTATCAAGGTTGATTCTCACCCCCGTCTATTATGAATGTTTATATAACTATAATGTTCGTTGTGCTCTTTGATGTATATCTTAAATAGCATGGGCCTAAATTCCAACACACTTGTTACGGTTTTTCCATCAGCGAACAACCCTGATCCTCACGCACCGACCTGACTATGATTAAAGACGATTTATAGCCGAAGGGCCGGACATGCAGAGCTATACAGCATTACCTCCTTAAACTCCTGGATCTGTGACTGTTCAAACATGGAGAAGACGTTGGAGGAGCCCCTCTGGGTGCGTTTGGCAGCAGCTTTGCCTTTTGCTTTCTTGCTGGCCTGATCCAGAGGGAACGTCCGGTTAATCCGGTTAATATTTCACTTTTAGTCTGACTTATGGCAGACCACGTCGGGGGAAAACCTTGCCCAAATATGTATACGAACATAGCAATTAGCACCTTAGCAGAAAATGAAATGGCAAGGTCCGCAAAGTATTGTAGACTTTTTAATGCTAAGATTTCTTCACTTTTTTTTTTTCTCCCTAAATCTTGTTTTTTGCAGAAGTCTTCCAATAGTTGTTAGCAGTGGTCATCATACTCACCATGTCTGCTGTGGAGATGCCCCTGTGCCCAAGGCCATAGTCAGACTCGTGGTGGATATAAGTACAGCTCCCCTTATCAGCTCCTCTCCTATAATAAGAAGGTGTTGGGACCTGCAGCCCCTTACATGGAAATCCTCATCCCCTTAGACCCAGTGACTATGATAAGTGCTCAATTGCTTGAATTCCTAAGGGGTGGAACTGAGATAGGGAATGGGAGGGGCTTGTCAAAATGGCCTCATTATCACAGCGACGTGTCTGCACAGAAGTGGGGTGAATATAGAGGAAAATCTACAAGTCGGCTAATTTGTGAATGTGCATGATGTTTCTAGGGAACATTTCTCTGCACGTGAACTCATTTACACTCTTTTGTTGCAGGATATCGAATACCTAATAGAACCAATGTACTGTAAAATTAAGGCAAAATGAGAAGGGGTTCTATCATATCTGACAGGTTGAGCGCGTCGATGGGTCATCTTCAATGGGGTGCCTCTGTTAAATGTACCCAAGATAATCATCCTCATTTTCAAACGAAAGCCTTGGTCAGGCAGATTGTCTACTGAAATGTAGAAAAATCTCACCATATTACACTTGGTATTAAATTAGTAGTATACACCAGCTTACAAAATATGCCTTTCCTGAAACCACTTCTGGCAAAAAACAGACCATTTAGAGCTCAATGGCATGAAGACTGATTAATAAGAGATGTTTCATAGGTGATTCAGAATCATACATATAGTTTAAATCTTTTTATTTAATTATACACAATGTAGAACCGTTTGATTTAATAAATACGCAATAAACAAATTGATATGTAGAATTAAATATGTTTACTAACCAATTTAAATTACTTAGGATATTGAGATTTACAGCCTATCGAAGTCTGAACCAAAATGATAGCAAAAGTAAGATCACAGTAATTCTTTTAAAATGAGTGTAATAATGTTGAAGATCCATCTTCACATTGTAAGTGCAATTACAATCCTTATTTGGTGCAGCTCAATACTGTTTCCCAAACTTGCTGTTGATCCATCCTGAGGAAGAGGTACAAAAACATTTAATAATTTCATCATTGTCTGTGATGGAAAGAACACGTCTTGACTCCATATCGTATCAACCGGGCCATGGGCCAGAATTCAGCAAAATAAATTTGAAAAAAATGCAAGCTTGGAAATTCCTACAATAAATATGAAAATGATAAATCAACTTCTATGTCTGTGCAAAAGCAAGGGAGGCAAACTCAGCATCTGTCTTTTGTATAAACCACTCATCCATGCAGGGGGCATAGGAACCTGGGGGAACCCCCCCCCCCAATATTCAATTTGGCTTCATGTTCAGTATATGCATATACATATCTCAGTGTATAAACCTCAGTGCGGTAAGGTCACCTTGCCATTTCAAAACCTGCTGGGTCTACCTGCATGTCTTCAGCCTCTAAAAATCTATTTCATTTCTCCTCTGATTTTCTGTTCACCCTGATGATGAGTGATTGTGTGATGAATGATGGTCAGATGATTTCCTGTCATAAGAAACTCCCGCCGGAGAGACATGAGATGTGATGTTCGTGGGCATTTCTTGAGGGTCACCTCATCCAGGGAAGCTCTCTTAGGGGTCCAGCATGCACGCTACCATCTTGCAGGCCACAGCGGAGACCAGGGCCGCTGCCTGCTCGCTCCCCTCCTCTGACTGGATGATGGTAATGTCACAGTGTGTTGTCAGGTCTCTGACTATTTTCTGGAACTTGTGTTGGAAACTGGGGATGAAGAAGAATGTTGGCAAAATCAGGGTGGGTCACATCAGGCACCAAGAGTGAAGCGCTTGCACACAGCTCAATGGTCACCTCACCAGGGGTGCAGTTTGTAGACTGAGCCATCAATACCCATGGTGATCTTGAGCTCCTCCTGGTGCAACTGTGAAATTGGCTTATATTTCTCTGAGCGTATCTGTGCTACATTATCTTCAGAGAGTGTTTCTCACCATCTCAGCTGTGCCCATCATGGCATCCTTGGAGATGAAATACATCTCCTGCTTGGTTTCCACCTTCCAGCCTCGCTGCTCATCCTCCCCCCACTTTGACCAGCATCACCCGGAAGTTCGTCCCTCCCAGGTCCAAGGCTAAGAAATCACCCACTTCTGACCGAAATCAACAAACACAAGAGTGCCACGGTACTGCAGCCAGTAAACCCAGACCAGTACTGCAGAGACCAAAGGCTCAGGGAACATTCTCATTTCACATTCACATTTACTCATCTGTTTCATGTGGTACCAATTTACGCAGCATCCATCCATAAGCACCTAACCAGTTCAAGGTTGCAGTGGAGGAATATCTGGAATTTCAATAAAACATAGCAGGATACAGTATACATTTTATAGCTATCGCCCATCTTCGTTGCTTATCTGTTTTTCTTTTGTTTTTTTAATAAATCAAGCATGCTTTTTTGTCTCAGGTGTTTCTTGCATTGTTGAGCTAATGTTTCTAATCTAAAACCCACCCTTAAGCTGTTTATAGAAGCACTGACATGGTTTAGGTGTCTGCTTAAGGCAAAAGGGCTGCTCTCATTATCCAAGCCAGAGACCATTCTGGTTATGAATCCATTTTCCCAACTGCTACACAGTAGATTACAGCCAATCTGGCACTGGGTGGGCACTAGGCGGGCACTGGGTGGAGACAGCACACACCAGAGCCCTCTGGGGTGGAGCGCACATATGTGGGCAACATTTTGACACTGGCTTCATTGTGCATCTCCAGACAAAGGCCACGTTCCATCTCATTCTGCATCCTCCTCATGACCTCTATCAGGTGGTCCTCCTTCAGTCGGAATTCCGACAGGATCTGATCCACCTGTGAAACAGAAGGTGGCGACTCACACTTATCTATGAAGCGACTGTGAAGATTTCAGCTGGCTGGACCATTTAAGCTGCCCTGCAGACCAATCACTGTTCGTCTGCTCATTCTGCATAAAGCCTGATTGGAATGTTGTTAAGCTTTCATGGAACAAACCTTTCTCCATGTTAGTTATTTTTTCAAAAGATGGGTGAGATTATTAAAAAATGTTTTGGATAAAGTTTCAGTTAATTTAAAATCTGTCACAGAGTGGCACAACTCCAAGTTTTCGATCATTACTTCCCAACAATATGGTTGTGGGGAAAAAGCATAATCTCATAATTTCTATATATTCATTTAAAAAGTAGTCAATATAATTTTTCATTTGATGAGCGAACTTGGTGATCATTAAAACTGTAGCAGGAGCACCAAAAGAGGACATGTTGTAGACAGAAACGGTCTCACTCATTGGCTGCTTTACAGGTACGGCATGCTCATTGGCTGCTTTATAAGGTACGGCATGCTCATTGGCTGCTTTATAAGGTACGGCCTGCTCGTTGGCTGCTTTATAAGGTACAGTCTACTCCTTTAAACAGCGACTGTCGTTGCTGCAGCTAAATATATACAGAAATCAGACAGGGTCAAGAGGTTCAGTTACTGTGCAGATACTAAGATGTGTGATTTAAGCGATTTTAAACACTGATTTGGTGTCATTATTCATGCTAGAAGTATTGTTCCACTGTTTCAGAAACATTATAATTATCAGTCAGTATTATTAATCTGTATTGTTGTATTTCCAGCTTCGTTGTTCATTCGCTTTTGTTTTGTAAGTTCCTTTAGTAATGAATTGCAGCTGAGGATTTTGTAATTTTAATGCTATTCCTTTTTCTATAGGCTATTTATAGCAAGGCATATATCCCCGCTACTTCTTATTTCACAACCTGTCACAACCATTCTGTTTACTGATGCTTCAACCTCGCTTGTTGCGGTTGCCATGCCAAAACCTTTGAATCGGTTGCTCTGGAAATGTGTAATTCCTGAATTTTGTCAAACAGAATAATTCAAATTAGCTGGCAATTAACAAAGGCCAGTGTTGGACATGATCAATACACAAATAAAAGTAGCTACTCATAATTTTGCTGCCCAAGTTAACATGCGAATCATAAGTGAAATTCAGCAGTTAAGAAATGTTCATTAGCTGGTGTTAAATAATTTAAAGTTGCATAATACAATAATGAAAGCAAGAATTAAATTATTTGAGAGCATATTGTTTGCTTCTGTCTGCCTGCTTGCCTGCCTGCATTCAATTCAATTTACTGTAGCTTTTGCGGGGACTGACCCGTATTTTCTCATTTATTTACTCATTGCTTTTGAACTGAACACGACAACTGGAACAATATGTTTCTAGTCGGTACATTTTTACTGTTGGACAGGAGACAATGACGTGATTCCGTTACAATCTGTCTGACGTCTTTTTCCTGTTGAACCGTTTTCTGTTAAAATAAAAGTCGAGAAGATAATCCGATTGTATTTCAGGTACGTAAAATTGAATTACGTTGTTTTCTAAGGAGCGATTTCTTTAAGAAAATGTATTTGACGAGCGTTTCATTTATGTAGAAGCTCATATACATAAAACGCGAAATTTTGTTAGGTAGTCAGGCTATTTAGAATTTTTAAATAAATAGAAATTGAATCCATTGTCACACCGTCATGTTTAATGTTACAGAAAAAAACACCACTCTTATTGTGAGACTCTAGATTCTAGTTAAAAGTTAATAACTTTTAGGTTTTTGAAGTAGTCAGATAAATTTGGAATTATCGTTTAAGTGGTAAGGAAATTGTTCTGTATTTTTCAAAACATCAGGAAATGTATGACAGGTAGTTTTCATAATTAATGACAGGTGGGTGTGTGCATAATACAGTTGATTCCCAGTATTTACTATATAAAAATAATCAGAACATGTGCGCAGATGAATTAATGTAAAGCTTAGCACATCGGGGAAAATCCCCCCCGCACCAAAAATAAAAACACAAACAAAAAAAGTGACTATATTAGTGGTATAACTTCAGTGAGCGGTTTATTTGTGTTTCGTACGAACGACAACAGGTCATTTCTCGGCAAAACTTTTATTCTGAAACATTTCCAGCAGGGCGCCTAAGGGATTAGGATTTCAACGTTACCGCTGTCAATGATCTTTTCTCATTTTAGTTCCCGTTTACGTCTTGGTCTTTTGGGGTTTGGTTAGTCTGGTATTTGGGTACTTGCTCATATCGATTGAAGTGACATGTCTACCAAATATACAAGATAGAAACGCACTCTGTTAGAATAACTGTCAGGTAATTACTATTAATCGCGCTTGCTTGTACATATGAATTATTAAGTTCTTGTGCTTTTGCTAGCTGTCACACAATATATTTTGAATTATCTTGCTACCAGGGATAGATCTGTAGTGTTCAAAAATAGGAATGAAATCGGCTGAGCATTTGCGTGATCTTCTGAAATGCAGATTAAAGTTGAAGGCAGAGTTTCTAAGCTATGCTTTTTGTAAGCTGCCTAGCCTAGTAGATGATGGTGGCTTCACCCACCACAATGAGCTATATGGCAGATGACAGACACCATCCGGTGAAGTGGCAGTCATGGTTTTTCACTCTGACACCCAGGTCAGACCGCACTCTCGGGGTGTTTCAGCGAGTCTCCGATACCGACATGAAGCTCTTCAGCCTCAGCATCCTTTATAAAGACACGGGCAAGGCTGTCCTTCTTAAAGCAGCCTATGACTTGTCCTCCTTCGGTTTTTTCCAGAAATCCAGGTGTGTTTCCCTGCGGTTTAACGAGGCTGGTCATTACCTATGTTGTGCTGGCGGATTGTGCGCACCGTGACTTTCCTTTCGCCCTGTAGTGTGCAGGAGTTCATGACATTCACCAGCGCCCTGGTGGTAGAGCGCAGCTCACACGGGAGTCGGGCTTCTGTCACGGAGCAAGGTGGGTTTAAGACATCCAGCTTGGTTACAGCTATGAAACTGGAGAGGGGTGTGGGAAATTTCAATTCAGTTTATTTTTATACAGCCCCATTTCACTGCAGAGTCACTCCAAGGTGCTTTACATGGGTGTGTTGTGATACAACATCATTAGGATGGAATGACGGAAAAATAGGAAAAAGGGAAAGCAAAGAAATGAAAGAAAGAGAGGCAGATGACAACGAAGGAGAGGAAACAAAAACTTCCAAGTAAGGAGAAAGAAAACCTCTGGGGGTCCAGGGTAAACTGGCTGCCCCCCCCCCCCACTGAAGCAGGACTCCAGCTCAGATGGTGCCCATCCCAGCACCATCTGGACATGAAGGAAGGAAGGCAGAGAGGAATGTGCAGACACTCGTAACGCTGTCATACCCAGCACTCCACACCCCAGTGTACCTGAAGATACAACTGTATTCAAACATGTTCAGGTAATCCCAGTGCTTCTTGCAGAAGAACTGGCTCCGTGCTGGCAAACAATCTTTCAGCTCTCCATAGACAACCACGCTATTCATGCAACATGAAAAACATCTTACATCATCCCACTTAGAAACCACAGCCCAAGGAGCCCAGTGATTATGGTGCGCTGGGGCTGCCGTCGGGTGTAATGAAATCCTTGGAGTGAATTCTGATTCATCACCTCTGGACCGAAATATGCAGCAGTTGGGATCCACTTCAGGTCTCTTGGAGGGTCATTAGTGCTGAGGACTCGGTAGTTTCTGATTCAGCATGTTTCAAAAACACTGGGACCCAACATCCACACCAGAGCACTGTTTTTGGGTTTATTGCTATTCAGTGTTGTTCAGTCTAAAGTCTAATATATCGACATGTTAAACATAACTTGTCATCTTATTTGTATGTTTACATTTAATTTATTTAGCAGGTGCTTTTTTCCAAAGCAACACACATTTCTTGGAAAAGCAAAGTCAGCCAGTTTCTGGAACATTTGGGATTAAGCGCCTTACTCATGCTTTGCCGCCATTGGGATTTGAACCGGTGACCTTTGATCACAGGTATAGGACCCTAAGCAGCTGAGGCCTGCACCCATATGATGTCTATTCCATCATGACTGAGGTTGACCATGAATCGGGTCACTATTGTTATTTCGACTGTATACACAGACATAGACTTTGCTTGCTGTAATGCACAGCAATTATTTGTAGATTAAGATCCTTTGAAGTGTGCAATCAAGTCCTTTTTCTGTTTTTCACATTTATTGTCCAGAGCTTCATTTAATACTGTGCTCCAAGCTGGTATAGATGTTCTCTGTTGTGCTTAAAATCAAGGTGGCTGTGTCTGCCCTTAGATCTTGGGCAAGCCTCTAGAGCAGGGGGTATCAAACTCCAGTCCTGGGGAGCAGGAGCCCTGCACATTTTTGAGTTTCCCCTCATTTAACACGCCTGATTCAACTCCTTGCAGCTCCTTGTGCTAATTATCACACAGCTCTTGAGCTGAATCATTAGTGGTGGAACAGGGAAAGAACTGAGCTACACTAGGCTCTGGTCCTAAAAGACTGGAGTTTGACACCCTGCTCTAGAGAAGTGCTTTCTGGAGGCCTCCCTGAAGAGCATGAAGAGACCTGTGTGAGATATTTCTTCAGACCTCACACATATCAGGTTAAGCCTTTGAACAGACACTTTGCATGGGCCAGACTCAGTAGTTTGAAAAAACCCTTCTTTTAAGAGGTACTCGTTCGTAAACCTTGACTGCAAGTCACATAAATTAAGTTTCATAGTCTGGTATATGAAAATGTGGCTGCCACAGGGCAAGTGCAATAGAGGTTTAGGTGTAGGGGTGTAATATTTGGGTTGGTGTAATTTGTCGGATATGTGTATGATGTGGTTTGGCTTTGCAGAAACAGGCCTTCCAGCTGCTGATTTTAATCAGTAACACCCCCCTCTCTCCCAGAATACCTGTGTCACGTGTACGTGCGGAACGACTGCCTCAGCGGAGTCGTCATCGCAGACAGCGAGTATCCTCAGCGTGTGAGCTTCACCCTGCTCGATAAGGTGTGTCTCTCCTTGCGCTAAATAAGCGACAGAGTAATATTGTGATTCTGTGTCATACCCCTACCTACCCATGATGTTTTTGGAAATTTTTGAAAAGAATTGTAAGAATTTAAATACTTTGGATGAGTTTAGTTTATGGGTAGTTGCAATATTTATTTGTTTCTTTGTGTATTGTATGCACTTACCTGTAGGTGCTGGATGAGTTCACCACGCAGGTAGACAGCTTAGACTGGCCAACCGGATCCCCAGACACAATTCGATATGCAGCTCTGGACAGTTATCTTGCAAAATACCAAGTGAGTGTCTGGCTGCCAGCCTTCGGCAGCGACATTCTGGGCTGTGTTGACTGTTGGATAAGCACTGCTTTGTCAGTAGGTATCAGCTGACTAACTGATTGGCTCTCTGTAGAATCCCCGGGAGGCTGATGCGTTAACTAAAGTGCAAGCTGAGTTGGATGAAACCAAAGTAATTCTGGTGAGAATCCTGATTTATTGTTTTTACTTTGTAATATATGAAAGTAAAATATAAAGGTTGTTTAAAATTTAAGTGAATTAGATAGCTAAACGGCATTGTTAATTCATCACACACAGTTCCTGGTAAGTGGCATTGAATGAAAGATTTGTCAGTTCAGTCGGGTTGGGACAGAGAGCCATCATCTCAAAGTGCTGCTTTGGTTGTTAGCGTGCAGACAGTCTAAGCTCCTGCTGGGTGGACACTGGCTTCCTCCCCCTCTTCAGATGAAATGTTACAGGCAGCACTGCTTCCTGTGTTTCTGACACGGTCGGACGCCAGCTTCTCGTGGAACCCCTCTGAATGGCTCTCCTCTCCTGGCAGAACAAGACGATGGACTCACTGCTGGAGAGAGGAGAGAAGCTGGATGATCTGGTGGCCAAATCAGAGCATTTGGGATCCCAGTCGAAAGCCTTCTATAAGACGGTGGGTGAAGCCCTGGGGCTCCTGATGCTATGGCCCAGCCAGGCCTCCTTTGGGACCCTTTTTATTTAACTTATGAGTGCCTCCCTTCCTCTGTGTGCTCTTGATATCAAGATATTGAAATATTTTATGTACTCTCTGAGTTCAGAACCTAATTACATTTTTCCAGCTACCCTGAAGCACATTGTACAGTATCTGGACTAATAAACATTTAAGAGTCATAATCTGGAATCATAATGGAACACTGGTTGTCAAATAACGCGGCACTTTAAATGACTGGAGTCTCCCCCTTTGGGTTTGTCCCCAAAGGGGGAATGTTCCTCTTCTTTCCCCCGTGTGTTTTGGGTATTTCATGCACAGATTACATTCATTTATGAAAGACAAAGGGTCAGTCTGGGCAACAATGAGCTTAGCGTAACAGCTCTAGCATTTCCTCTCATTTTTTGTGTGTGGAACTTTGATCCTGAAAAAACTGGTAGATTTGAGCTATTTTAAGATGGCCAGAACCAAATCATTAAATCAAATGCAGATTTTCTGAATAAGCAAGCATTTCAGTGCACCTTTGCATATGACCAGTTTAAATCTTGAATCTTGTGCATGGTAGTATTTAGTGGAAATAGCTATTTAGGATGGTGTTACTAGTGTTTGCCCCAATACCTCAAACCCCTTCATTTTCTGCAGGCCAAGAAGCACAACTCATGCTGTAAAATGATGTGATGCTGCATTTGGGCTCCTCCTTTATCCACGGAAGGGCTGCAGACGAGAGCTGTGACTGAGATCGAATATTGTCAGGCGTTTGCTGATGCCCTTCCAATGGCGCCTGGCAAGTGATGGGTGGCGGGGTGGGGGGGTTTCAGCTAATATTTTAATTAGTAAAACAATTCAGAATGATTCTCTTCTGGATTCTTTCATATTTGTGTTTTTTTTTTTTTAGTTTTGCACAATTTCTGAAATATAAGAATATCGTCTGTTTCTCCTTTAGTGGACTTTTATGGGTGTTGTGGTGTTAATTAAAATTTTGCTGTTTAGCTGCTGTTCAACCTGAAGCCTTAAATGTTCCTCTTATTCCACTGTAAGAAGCTAACCATGTGTTAGCCTGAGTACTTCTAAACTGTTGTTAATTGCTGTACCTGCAGATGGCGCCATAGCCCCATCTGACGCCTGTGTTTTCTGCAGTATCTCTGCATTCTGGTGTCATTCAGTGGTCATTTGTACATGTGCTCTGACGTTTGCACTGGCATTCCAGTGTAAAGCACAGATGTCAGGATTAAGGGGTGTGTTTTCCACTGTAATCCAGCATTTCTCAATTTTCAGCAGGGTACAGCTTCCGTAATCATTCTTCTGACTGCAGTAAAAGCAGTCATTTGAAATGCACTAAAAATAAAATAATTGTTTGCTTTGGCAGGGTGGTTTATTATCATCAGCAGGTTTCTTAATGCAGAGTGTATTCTTGGGGTCATACTGCTTTGAAACATTCCGAATGCAGAGTATTCACCTGCTGAATCAATATTTATTTATTAAAAGTAATTGCTCTCTATAAACCATTATTTCCTAACCCAGTCCTTGGTGACCCCTAAACAGTCCATATTTTTGCTCTCTCTCAGCTCTCACCACACCTATAGCAGGTAGTCTGTGTTCCTGATTGGCTGGGAGCTAGGAGGGAGCAAAATTGTGGACTGTCTGGGAGTCCCTTGGGACTGGATTGGGTAACACTGCTATTGAATACATAGTCGTCCATCTGGGGGAATCTAGGTAGCACATCCCTCTGCGGATATCTTGTCTGGGATTTCCCTTGGATCCTGCTTTAGTTACTACCAAAGGTCTTTGCTCTGTTTGTGGGGCCTGTCTTTCCTATGATGCTGCTTCCTTCCTCTGCAGTGGTTTTCATGAGCCCTGGTTCTTTACTGTTACATGGGAGATGGTGCAGTGATACTGAAATAACTTTGTATTTAGTAATGCGCTGATATTTTTTCAGTATTCCAGTTATGTAACTACTGTCAGAAAAAAAGGGTACAGGCCCTAGTACAGTTTTGTTCTCCAAGGTACAAACAACATTAACGTACCCTCAGTGGCACAAAAAATGTTCCTCTGAGTCTATTTCTGTACCTCAAATTAGACTAAAAGGTAGTACATTTACCTACAGTTAGGGTACAATTGGCAGATCCTTGAGGGTACAGCCCCAGTGACAATTAACTGTACCCCCAAATTGGTACTTTTATTATTATTATTTCTATTTATTTATTTATTTATTTATTTTCTGACAGTGAATGGTGATTCAAATGCTTGTATTACTCCAAGCTTCTTGTCTACAATTTTTGTAGAGAACAGGACAGGGGTCTCCAACTCCGGTCCTGGAGAGCTACTATCCAGTAGGTTTTCTATCCTACCTGATTTCTGGAGAGCCACAGATGTTCGCAGATAAATACCAGGAACAGGTGTGGCTCATCAGAAGCCAGGTCGCATACTGGTGAACAGTGAACCTACTGGATAGTAGCTCTCCAGGACCAGAGTTGGAGACTCCTGGGCCAGAATGACTTTGATTAAGAGGACCTATAAACCATTGGCATCTATGCAGGTTATTACATACTGTAATTAGCTCATGTATGTGAATTACATGGGTTGCAACAATGTCATGTCCAGGTGTGAATCCTTAGAGTCTTATGAATGCAAACTGTAATGTTGAAATTGTCTTTACCTGGAAACCTTCGTACACCTTTTGCTCAACAACCTGCTACAGGAACTTACGGTATTGATTTCAGCTAGATACTGTTAAGTTGTGTAAATCACTACTAAACAGTATTGTAGCTAATATTTTAAGGTATATTTAAAACACCTTGACGTACAGATGTCTATAGAATTGGTATTCTGTTAAATGATGTATATAGGGAAGTTAAAATACATTTTAAAATGTTTTTTTGTGATTTATCTGTGTGTCGTCAATGCACTTTTGATCTTGATCTGTAATATTGTGGTCTATCTATTATTTGTCTTTTGCTTTTGTTCCCAGCAGACCAAACATTAAATATATTGTTGTTTTTCATTTTTTGGCCTTGATGGAGCGCAGTTGTGTGCTTTGGTTTAATACCTTTCCACGTGCCTTTGGAGTTTGTCTCTTAGCTGCCTTTTTGCTGAAACCTGGAACTCTTAAGAATAGCTTTATAAATACTGTGAACGTTTCACTTTGCAACATTTCATGAATTTAATATCTACCAATTGAGACTACTGTGGTAATAAAAACGCAGTACACACCTTTTCATCAATCCTTTAGCCTTGTAATTCGTAATCTGAATAAAATGTCACACTGTAGACTGAGGTGATATTGATGTACTGAGATTTTTTGGTTCTGTGTAACAGTGAATAGTTTGTTGGAGTTGATTGAATGCTCCCTTAAGTGGTCTTTGAGTTTCCAATAAAATCTGGTTTGAATAGTAAAGTATTTGTGTCCAATCTCTTCTTTCAACTTTAAATTTGTTACAATAGGCAACTTGATAACATAATGGTGGTACTAAAGTAAGTGTTGCCTATACACATGTTAATTTCAGATTGTTTAAAAATATTGGTAACACTGTAACTTTCATTAGTATTGTTTTGCACATTAAGTATTAGACCTACAGTATGATAATCCGACTGCTGTATCTGAGTACATCACTGTCAATAACTTCGACACAAGAGTAAACATTTGGACGCTCAGTGCATATATATAAACGTTTTTAAACCCATTTAAGCAAAATTAACGCAAAAAAAATACATTTTTGAAAATACAACAAAAATATTAAAAAAGGGCTAAAATGTAAAAAATGTTCTCCAGTCTGTCATTGTTCAAGTTAGTGCGAATTGTTACCCTGTTTGGTTATCTAGCTCTGGTTCCTGTGTTGGTCTTTTCCCCTAGTTGTTACCTTTTAATATCTTTGTACTTAGTATTTGTTTCTACCATTTGCTTTTGACCCAACGTGGACCTTTTATTTTGTGCTTTTTCCCCAGTGTGTTCTGTTTAATTTCAATAAACCCTTGTTTGTCTCAGAGCCGCAAGTGGATCGTCACCTTCTTCCTGCCTGCACCATGGCCTGCATCTGTGCCACAGTTTGTCACTGCATCCAGAAATGCAGGATGAAACTCTACCATGCAAAGAAGAATCCATGTCTAAACATGATCCAGAAGCACTGCTGAATTCTCTGGGCTCGAAGCAAAATGGAGAACTCTCCTGTGGTATCACAAATGAAAATTTAGAATTCTTTTTGGAAATCGTGGATGCTACGTCCTCTGAGCTAAAGAGGAGAGGGGCCATCGAACTTGTTATCAGTTCAAAAGCCAGCATCCGTGATGGTATGGGGCTGCATTAGTGCCCATGGCTTGGGTAGCTTGCACATCTGGGAAGGCAACATTAATACTGAATGATATATACAGGTTTTGGAGCAACATATGCTGCCATCCAGATAACATCTTTTTCAGAGAAGGTCTTGTATATTTCTGAAAGACAGTGCCAAACCGCATTCTTCACGCATTACAACAGCATGACTCCATCGTAGAAGAGTCTAGTGCTAGACCGGCCTGCCTACAGTCCAGACCTGTCACACATTGAAGACATTCAACGCATCATGAAGCAAAAAACAAAAATGACAAAGGAGACAAAGACTATACCCCCGAGGATTTTAGCCCCGATGTCAATCTTCCTTCAAAAAAGTAAAAACACATGCCCCTGATCTTTTCAGTAGCTAGACCCCCCAGCCCAAATAGGGGTTTATATGATTCATTGTAAATCATGGCATTCTGTTTTTATTTACACTTTACGCAGCATACCAACTTTGTTGGAAACAGGGCTGTATGACGAGTATTGCTCATACGGATGTTTATCAACAGAAGCCCGGCCTCTGTGGGGTTTTCTTGTATGGATCTGACGTAGTCGTCCTTGTTTTGCATATAGACAGATATACTGTACACCTGATGAATGCCTTGAAGCGGCGATGATCCGAGCTGCGTCTCACCGCGGAAAATGTGGAAAGTAGCAGGAAACCGGACTGATGAGCTGTGGTTCCGAGAAATCAGTGGGAATACTTCTCAGGTATGCCAAGGAACTGTTTAAAAATCGTCTTGTTTATGTTTAGTGACCGTGAATAAGTTGAAAATGTTCATGTCTCTTTGCGTTATTGTTATTGTATTGTTACAAAGGACAATACTAAAGACCTAATAACTTAATTAACTCGCGTTAAAGGACTAGTTATTTTTCGTTAAATGTAATATTATTTTTGTAACTTTTCTGTATTAATAATGAAAAATAACTGGATCGAGTTTCTTTTAATAAGAAACATATAAGCGTACGCGTAGTATATAGGCTAAACAACGCATTTCTTACAGCAAGTTACTATTTTCTTTAAAAGTTCAGACATCATTAGTCCTATATAGACTACTATATTCCTCTTAAACACAGGTTCAGCAACAGATATTGTTAGTAAATGGCAAGGATTGATATGAGAAAAGCGTTGATCTATGTTATGAGCACAAAGATTTGGTTTACACGTTACAATTAGGACGAAAAATACACCGCCGAATGGATTTGACTTAAATTTATTACGCCTATAAAAGTTGTTTTGCAAAGTTTTTTTTAGATTAATTGAATCGAAAGAAAATGAAGCATTTACAAAACGATCATAATAATCGCATCATAACCATACTGGTTTTACCTATGGCTGTAGGCCTATGCTGTAAACTCTAATATATACCCCGAAGCCCTATAGAAGACCTGGTAGATAAACGTAAATATCCAAAAATTCGTTTTCGATTCGATTTTGATTATCTATTAGCTGATGGAGCAATTTTAACGTATAAATTTAAGATGGTCCACAAGACAGCTGCCATGTTTTTTTTTTTGCCTCCATAAACCAAATAGCTGGAACTAGTATGAACTTGCACGTGAGAGCAGACAGTCACTGAATGTAGATAAGTAAGGCATGAGACATTCAAAACATGCTCTGACAAGAATATACAATCATGTTTCTATTAAACCTGTTCTTCTGGTCAGTAAAATGAGTATTTGGCTTGCTAACTGTTCATCACACTGTTTGAGTGCTGGGGGTACCGTGGGGGTGTCACTCTAAAATACTATGCTGGAAAGAGGAGGCAGCTCTGACCATGGATTTTTGTGACCATGGTCGGGCTGCTTCTCATAGATGTTGACTGACTGTCTGCCTGTACGGGCCTGTGTGCCGCTGTCTTTCAGAGGGCTATTCTGGAGCAGCTCGGACTCTCCTTTGCTGTAGCGCACAGTAATGGTGAGTGCCCACACACTCCATCAGGGCTTGACCCTCAGCTCACCTAGATCCCTGACTGTATCAGTCCTCATGGGAGTGTTTCCGGCTCAGGAACCAGAAAGGAATGCTCCCTGGCTTTTCTGTTATGTAAGCAGGAGGAAAGATGGGGTGCTTGAGGCCTGGGAGTACTACTTGAGAGATTTCCCTGTACGTATGATGGGCATGATGGACTAGCGACTGATTTTAGAGGTCCTGTAAGTGATGGACAAGTGACTGATTTCAAAGGTCCTGTAAGTGATGGACAAGTGACTGATTTCAAAGGTCCTGTAAGTGATGGACAAGTGACTGATTTCAAAGGTCCTGTAAGTGATGGACTAGTGACTGATTTCAAAGGTCCTGTAAGTGATGTTACACATTTGTTTATTTTGCTAGCACCAGCCACTAAAAGCTACATATTAATAATAATAATAATAGTAATCAAATTTAAAAATATATTTACATATGTGTAATTGGTGGCTAGCTGGCCAACTGTACAAGGTTAATACCAAGATAAAATATAGTAGGTAAAATTATTAAAATGCTGAATGTATGTTGTATCCTGACATTAGGATCTTTTGACACTTCCTGGACTCAACCGTTGCATATCACGGAGGACGGTCATCAGTCATTTTTGTCCAGTTCTCACTTTTTGAATATAATGCAAGGAATTCACATTGAACAAATTCAAAGCAGGAAGTGTATAAAGGATTCCTTCAGTTGTATATACATATATACAAAAGGCATACATCTTGCAACCACATCTGATTGGCCTAGTCCAGTGGTCAGGATGTCTCACCCAATCATGTTTTTCTGACTAGGCTCCCAACCCGGCCCAGGTACCCTTACGGCAGCCCCTCCGACACAGAAGACTAGTGGTATAGTCCCAGGTGAGTGGCTTTGACATTCCGCAGTACCTCATAGAAGCCCACTGTTGGCAATTTCAGGGGACTTATACAGGCGGTTCCTGGGTCCAATTTACAATCAACTCATACAAACGAACGGACTGCCATAAAGCCTATTATATTCAAATTTTGAGTTGAATACAATAGTTCATAATAACGAACACACGCACTACTTTGGGATGCTCATGAAAACATTGCACGGCTTCAGAGATTCGTTAGCTTGATGTACAACATATTACTGTATGTATTTACTTTTATTGACTGTTTTATTGACTGTTATGATTATTAAAATATATTACCAATGTTCCGACTTACTTAGGGAATGGACCTCATTTGTAACCTTGGGACTGCGTGTAGTCAGAGTTGTTTATTGTTTATGTTATTCGTTTACTGTGGTAAGAGTCTGTACAAATTGACTCTTGGTGAACATATTCCAAAAAATGTGCACTACTCTTTTATAGAAATTATGTTTCGATAGCAAGGGTTAACCCCCTTTTAATGTAAATGTTGCTACATTGAAATGCAAATGACAATCATGCATACATATATTTTCATTGAAAATGACATTAGTGATGTGGCCGTGTACAGTGACTCAGTGCGTAGCTTTAATAGCTCACATACAATGGGCTGGGTTTTGAATCCTGCCTCCCCGCTTTGTTCTCCCCATTTTATGTGGGTTTCCTCCCATAGTCCAAAGACATGCAGTTAAGCAAACTAGTTTGTCTGTGATGGGCTGGTATGGCACCCACGGTGTGCCCCGCCCCCTTACGGCCTGAGCTGCCTGGGAGGGGTATCAGGCAACCCTGTCCAGGATAAGCGATTAGAAAATGGATTACATGAGAAATATACTAATAATATTCACAATGTAAATTTAACTTTAGGCTTAAATATAACTTGGACAGAAGTCGTTCCTGGTAAATGAAGGGCATTTTTCCATAAAATACGGTATCTTCCTTTTTTTGGTGTTATTGCATGAAACTGCCTTTAAGTATCAGTCAGTTTCAGTCCCCCTACCATAGAGGTCTATAGTATGGCTGTAGTGCTTGAAAAAATAGCCATTTAAACATGCGTCTGTCCATCCCAGAAGCATATGAAGCTGAGTCTTTGTGCCAGTTGCTTACTTTGAGGAGACAAAAAAGTAACACTTTACTTGTGTGGACACAAATAATGTAGTATTATGCTATTACTTATGTATTAATGAACCACAAGTTAAGCGTTAGTTACAAACTGATCTCATGTTTGTTCAT